TAAATAAATAAATAAATAAATAAATAAATAAATAAATAAATAAATAAATAAATAAATAAATAAATAAGAGCAGCCACCTGGCACGCACATGTGCCCCGGTGGCTGCTCTTACAGTTTCCCGGCACTCCTGCATGAGTGAAGACCAACTCGCTGGCATGCCAGAACCCGGAAGAACAACGGGCAATGGCTCACATGCTCAAAAAGATCGCTCTGTGTGCCACTTCTGGCATGCATGCCATAGGTTGCCCATCATGGCTCTATACCATTTCAGACAGATGACTGTCCAATCTTTTCTTAAAAACCTCCAGTGATGAAGCACCTACAACTTCTGAAGGCAAGCTGTTCCACTGGTTAATTGTCCTCACTGTTAGAATAAGCAATTCTAGGTTGCTTCTCTCAAGTAGTTTCTATCCATTGCCTTCTGGTGCTTTGGAAAATAAATTGATCCCCTCTTATGTGGCAGCCTCTCAAATACTGGAATACTGCTATGCAGTATTTGTAGTATTAAAGGTGTGGTCTTACTAAGGATTTCTAAAGCAGTACTAGTACTTCACGTTTTTTTTTCCCCGCCTCTGTTTATACAACTAAGAATTGTATTAACTTTTTTGGCTGCTGCCACATACTGCTGGTTCGTTTAAGTGATCGTCCACTAAGAGTCCTAGGTCCCTCTCACAGTTACTGTTTTTGAGACAGTTTTGCCTAATCTGTACTTGTACCTTTAGTTTTTCCTGCCTCGGTGTAAAACCTTGCTTTTCTCCATTTAAAATTTAATCTTATTGGATAGGGTCTATTGTTCAAGTCTGTCCAGATATTTTTGGATCTTGAGCTTGTCTTCTGGGGTGTTGGCTATTCCTGCCAGATTAGTGTCATCTGCAAATTTGATGAGTTCCCATTCTATTCCCTCATCTAAGACATTTATAAAGATATCGAAGAGTACTCGGCATAAGATAGAATCTTGTGGTATCCCACTGTTTATTTTCTCCCAGGTAGATCTAGTAGCATTAAGGATTACTCGTTGAGTATGGTTTGTCAGACAGTTACAAATCCATCTAGTTGTGATGCTGTCTATCCCACATTTTTTTAGTTTACCAGGAAAGTAGATGGTGGTCTACATTGTTGAATGCCTTGCTGTAGTCTAAGTATACTATGTCCACAACGTTTTGCTGCTCCACTAGTTTATAGTCATTTTGTCAAAGAATGAAATAAAATTGGTCTAGCATGATCTATTTTTAACAAACCCATGCTGGCTACTAGTTATAACTTTATTTGTTTCTAGATGTTCACAGAACTATTTTTTTATTTTCCAGTATCTTCCCAGGTATTGATGTTTGGCTGATTGGTCTGTAGTTTCCTGGGTCTGTTTGTTTTTCTTTTTGGAGATGAGAACCACATCAGCTCTTTCCCAATCCTCTGGCAGTTCTCCATTGTTCCAGGAGTTTTTTTAAAAGATGTGGTACAATGGTTCTGAGATAACATCTGCCATCTCCTTCAGAACTCGGGAATGTAACCCATCAGGTCCCAGTGATTTATGTTCATCAAGGTCAGACAGGTTTTCTCTTGCCATTTTCTTGCTTATTTTAATTTTTATTTCTCGTCTGTCTTTTACAGTGTTTTTGGTAGTTGGGCTATAGTTTCTTTTTGTGCGAAGACTGGTGCAAAGAATGAGTTAAGAAACACTGCTTTTTCTCTACTGCTTGTTACTTCCTTGCCATCTTCTCTCTTTAGTGGATTGTCTGTTTCCTTGACTTTTTTCTTGTTAGTTACTGTATATGTTGAAAGAAAATTTTTTTAAAATTATCTTTGACTTTTGTTGCAAGTCATTCTGAGCCTTTGTTTTCCTGACTTCATCTTTGCAGGTTCAGACTATCTACTGATATTCTGCCTTAGTTGTGTGTCCCTCTTTCCATTTTTTGTACTTATCCTTTTTGTCTTTCAGTTTATCAGAGAGATCTTTGTGCAACCATGCTGGTTTCTTCTTGGATTTCCTGTTTTTTCTTTTTCAGTGTTAATGTGTTGGACAGGGCTTTTATGATATTTTTCAGTTTCCTACATTATTATTATTATTATTATTACACAATTGTATCACAGCGGCCAGTTGTTTCGCCGGATTTGGCATTGGTTACTAGTCGGGCCCCACCCAGGGG